TCCCGCTTGTTCTTGTCTTATAGACAGGGGGGGGGGGCGTACCCTTAGGGTCTGCAGGCCTCAGCGAATGGACCATTAACAACAAGAACTCGAGAGGACGGAGCATTTGTTCCCACAGGACCGATCACCAAATGGCCAATCGTTCCTCCCTACATGCTTTTGCCTAAGGCGGTTAAAACATTTAGACAGGGGGGAGTGGCGCGGAGAACGTCATGGTGCGTGCAACAAAAGAACTTGATGGAGGTCGTCGTCCAAGCGCGTTTGCTTTCATTTTTTCGAGTCCGCGATACCCCCCCCTCAAGCTAAGTCCAAAATGCGGTGCCCCCAACCCTCACGCACGCAAGAAACGGCAAGCGGTATGACCCAATCGCTCGTACTCTCGAGGGTAGCGGGATAGCATGTAGGTCGTGCGCTTGACTAGGCAATCAGAGGTAAGCTTGTCACAGCAGCAGCCTCGCTATTCAGCAGTGCACGAGGCTACTAACGACAACACAACCTTGCCCAACATATTGTTCAAGAGAACTTCTTCCGAAACACGTACATCCCCGCCAAAAATTCAAGACCGAAAACGCCACGAGTTGTACGCAAGGGAAACCCTACCCCGTGAGTCAAACTCTACCCCTACAAGCCGTGAGCGGAAATACCCATATTCCGTGGATCAGTTTGGCCATTCTGCCGGCCCCCGTGCAAGCTCCGTGAGAAAGACATGAGTCGGTCAGGCCTTTCCGCCGCCGCCCCCCCGCCCCCGCCTACAAACCGTGCCGTAGAAGGAAAAAACCCAATGATTCCGTCAGGCCTTTCTGCGGGTTTCCCTGCAAGCCGCGGTTGAGGACGACGACGAGGAGGAAGACACCAGTAGCTGGTCGAAATTCTTCTGGAGGTTGGATCTAAGCGCCGCGCGGCTGCGCTGCACGTCGGTCCTCGCCTTCTGCATCTTGAGCCTCTCCATCTCCCTCACGATGTCCTCGTCGATTCCGGAGTCCCCGTCCTCGTAGTAGTCGAACAGGTCGCCGTCGTGCCTCCCGCCGCCGCCGCCGTTCGCGCCGCCGTTCGCGTCGTCGAGCATAGACAGCAGGCTGCCGGCGCTCTCCATGCCGCAGGACCCCGCGCGCTGGCGCGCCGCCGCCGTCGCCGTGGCCGCCTTCGCTTTGCTACCGCTAGCCTTTGGACGCTGCTGCTGCTGCTGCTGCTGCTGCTGCTGCTGCTGCTGCTGCTGCTGCTGCTGCTGCTGCCCGTTGGGCTTGCTGCCACCGCCCTTGTTGTCCTGCGGTTGTGAGTGGCTTCTCCCTCCCGCCGTCTCCTGGTGACCGTTCGCTCGTTGGCCGCCGTTGCTGCGGTCCTTGTCCTTGGCCGCCTTGGTCGCCTTCGCCGCCGTCGTCGCTGCTTCCATCTCCGCCGCCGCTGCCGCCGCCGCCGCCGCCGCCTCGTCGTCCTCCTCCTGGCTCTTCTTGGCCGCCCTCGCCCGAGCCTTGCGCTCCCGCTTCTTCTTGGACTTTGTCTTGGCCTTCTTGTCGTGGCCGTCCACGAGACCGAGCTCGGACAGAGAGACACCGGTTCCGCCGCACATCGGGCACGCCGGGTCCGCCGTTCTGCCGCACCCGGGACACGACGAGGACGCGGAGGGCCTCTTGTCTCCGCCTCCGCCGCCACCGCCCCCCCTGTTCTTGCAGCCCATCCCGCCGCACCCGCCCTGTATGCGCGTGCGGATGGCCTGCAGCACCAACGCAAAGAGGTACTGCTCGCCCTGGACCTGTG